ATCTGATGCTGGGAATCATGATAACTACTATGGCAGACGACTTCAGACTAGGTGCGTTCTTCTAAGTCGCCCTGACAACAAGACCAAGTTGAGATAACGATGTCAACCCACTTCTTGCTGAGATATAGTTTTCTTGGTTATAGCGTAGCGAGAATACAAATGAAAAGAAGTCGAACTGTATGTACATTGTAGGTACGAATAGAAACTGGGTTTTGATAAATCTCCTGAGATTACATTGTTGGGGGGGACTTTCATTTCGTATGAAAGTGCATGAGGAAGAGATTAGTAGGTCGTTCTAACCAGAAGAGGACTTACATTCTTACAAGCTCATATCTCATTATCTCAAGCATAGTTGCTTAAGGACTTAAGCAGTATCGGTCAGGGCTTTCTCTTGGGGCATTAGGCCTTGATGATCGGAGTCTGACATTAGCCTTTTGATAACTCTGATTTATGACCGGTATTGCGTATAGGCAAATCTCTTCTTCATGCACTTTCATACGAAATGAAAGTCCTCCCAACAATGTTATCTTACGAGTATCATCGAAACTCAGTTTCTCTTCGGACCTTCGTACTTAATGAAAGTCTCCCCAAAAATATGAACAGATATTCTATTAAACTTATGTCTCGAAATACAAAGGCGATGATAAGACGACGACCATGAAAGGGAAATAAGGGGAAAATATGCACAAAGTTAGCACTACTATCAGGGAAAATAGCATATAACTACAGCCGCTACTAACCAAGCAGAATATTAGTACGATCCTGATTGACAATCCTACACAGGCAACATAGAAAGATGAACAAACAGGATTGATCGGATGCTTAATTTATCAAATGCAATGACCGCAAACAAGGTAAATATGATAAATAAGAAAATATAACGTAAGAATTTGAGTATGCCAACAGCTATAGAAGTATGGACACTGAAAGATCCGAAAAAGCAGAGCACATTGCACTTACTCGTCACAACATCAATTGGAATGCAACTGAAAGCATGAACTCAGGGCGAGAATACACAGAAACGGAAAGTAAGGCAAGCCGTCAACAGTCCCATTCAAAGCAGACTAATTAGCAAGAGATTGGAGGAAAGGATAAATCAAAAATTTCCCTATCGTTTAAACTAGCTTAGAGAAAGTCAATCAATAAAATCAGGAGGATGATTGGATCTGGGATAGTATTTTAAAAATATAAACAGGCATCACATATAAGAGGCTCTTGAGAAACAAATGGAAATCCAAGGGAAGAAGATTGCATAAAGGAGTCAAGTCAAGGAACAAAATTAAAAATTAGATGTTCAACCAAAGATTATAGATTGCAGATATGAAGACCAAGATGTTGTGGCCCTCTGTTTGGTCGCAGTCTCCTTTAGCTTTAGTATTGGTTCGACCTTGTTTTCGCAACTTGGTTGAAGCGTAAGGAAGACCTTATAGAACGTACCTAGTCCCGTGTTTTCTGCCATAGTATACGTGATTTCCAACATTGGATCATTTGCTGGGTACATTCCCAAACGCTTCGCCGACATCGTCAGTGAGAGGCGCAATAAAAGTTCTTACGATGGCACCTCTCACTGACGATGCGACGAAACGTTTAGGAATGTACCCAGCCAATGGCCAAATACTGGAAATCATGAATACTATGGCAGAGGACACGTTCCACAAGGTCTCCCTGATGCTCCGACCAGGTTGCAATAGGAGGTTGAACCAACACTAAAGAATATATAGATTAGTAAAAATTGTCTTAGCAAAAGATGCGGCGGTTAGGGCCCAAATTGACTGCAAAACAATGGAGGCTTGATACAAGGTATCAGTTGACTTAATCACAAGGATGATACATCGATTATATGCATAACCATGAGAATTGCTAACACATATTCACAGAATTAAGTAAAGTGAAAATATATGACAGGGTTTCGATTATGCTGGTTGGTAGCGGTATAGACTAGGAAGGGTGACATCCAAACAAAGGTGGTAAAATGAAGAAGAATTTTGCTCAAATAATTCCAAAAGAAGAGGATGGGTTAACTAGGTCAGAATAGACAAGCCAGACACAGGAGCCCCAAGAAATGCAGTGGTAAAATGCTGAGAACGAGAATTGTTAAATTGTGATCTTGAATACAAGATTGAAAAGAGCGGTGATTATCAGAAAAATCGTTCCGTAGCCGTCCTAGATGAGGCTATTTTCTATGTACTAGCATACATTCGGAACCCAAAACGTGATGGATACGGTGGATGAGATCGAGTGGATACAGTTGGCCAATTATATGAGACAAGGAATGTGGAAGTAATGAAGAAATAAGCTGATATAAGTGAGATGAATCAAAATTCCAAGTCGATACTAATACGGATCAAAAAGCCTATCAGGAAAAATGAGACCGGTGATGACGGCAACTATGCTTCAATAGACCCATTCAAAGAGGACATATCTGGAGTTTATAGAGACAACAAAGGGTATAAATTGGGGTAGAAAAGAGATTTATTTATTGGGAATCAAAGTGAGTGCTGACTATATAACCTTAGGAGATAGGACAAGTACCTAGCCAAAAAGGAGGATAAATACCATAACGTTTCAAAGGAAAACTATTACTTGTTACTGTGTGTCGGTCCTAAGACTGGCGCTACTCACTGATGATGCCGACCAGATAGCCAAAACATCTTGAAATTTAAATAACCAACGATCTGGGGCTAGAAAAACAAGACACAGAAAGTAGGTACACCGAAATCTTTCTGTAAAAATTACTAAATTGCGAAAATAAAGTTAAGGCTACTCTTCAGTAGAATCGAATTCGAGGAGTACATAAATTTATCAAAATATAAACTGTGCTTTCGGGAAAGGCAAACTAACCAACCTGTCGAGTCTAACGTCGTCCAAGATGGCATCGAGTGTGATGCTGAGGAAGCCCCTGCTGGGGTACTAGCCGATGTTCCACTGCCCGTACCTCCCTGAGAACTTAAACTGGATCCAGAGTGCAGAGTGGCTGCAGCCATTGCGACCATTGCAGCCCCAAGTGCCCCACCAAGATGTCCTGCACCCCCAACACAAGTACTATCGGCACTACCACCGGCCCAAACGCCCCCAGCCGTACTACTAGAGCCGTCACTGCCGAAAGCAGCGACAGCACCATTTCCGACTCTTCGAGGGCAACCTCCGCCAAGGCCGTTGTGCTGGTTTTGAAGCAACTGAGTTGGAAATTGATGTTGCTCGCCAATAAATGCACTACCCGAGTTTGACGTGCCTCTTCCGGGAACCCAGTTCCCCCAGATAGGATTCGCAGTCAGCCCTGAGTCAACTTGGGGAGGAAGATTGCTCACTGGGGTACAACCGACGCCAATAGATCCTCCTCCACTAGCACCATTCGTTCCTCCTGCGCTGGCACCACCAAGACCTCCAGCACCACAGCCACCTGCGGTGGCACCTAGGTTACCATCGCCAGTGCTACCAGAATGCGCCTGATGAAGACCGAGAGCGCCGCAGAGAGCCAAAGCTGCTGATGGGCCTCCTGTGCTAGTGTGGGGTGTGGCGAGATGGGGATTCCAATGAGTGGCGGTACTGAGTGAGTGCTGCAGCTGTTGCCCCATGTGGTGAGGGTGATGAGGGTTATGCGAATGGTGGCTAGCCGTGGGTTCTTCAAGGTTATTCGCCAAGTAGTGCGCTTCTGGACGACAGGAAAGGTGTGAATAATGGGGGTCATGGGAGTTGGCGCCGGATAGACGACCTGTTCCAGAGTGGTGATATACATGAGCAAATAAGAAAAACTTTAGCGTAGCGCCGATGAGTGGATGTAGAAATAGATACTAGATGACAAATCAGATAGTGTAAAAGCTGGCAAGTGGAACTTACGTGCATATATCATTTAGGTTATATTATTTTGTTATGATAGATCTATGTGAATGGATGACTTGATATTTTAAGCATGTAGATCCGCAATGGACTAAAATGCGAGTAGTGATAACGCAATTTGCATAAGCCAAGAAAAACCAGTCACTACATGAATTTTTCAAGATCACGAAGGATACCAAGAGCCAATGCAGGATAATATAGCTCACTAGGTTATTGAAAGAATAAAAAGTAAGGTTTTAAAAGAAAAAGTGTGGGAATAATTGATATGGTGATATCTAATAGTTATTATTGGCCTACCAATCACTAGATAATGGCTCCTGTCTGGCATTATGCTCATAATGCCTTGGTTATTTTCCAGTAAAGTAATCAATTTTGGTGCGGCCATTTACCTCGGATGG